ACTGATGTTGTGTTTGCACATCCATACTCACCATGATACATAATGCCCCAGAAGGTAAGAGAGTGCATTCAGAGCTGCACCAGCAACATGTGGGACCATGCGTACTGGGATGTCCTGTGTGCAGAAAACTGGGAAGAATGAAAACCAGCCAACATATTGGGTGTGTGTGGGGGGGGATCGAGGGGTTGGGGGTGGGGTCCTGTCCACACAGCAAAGAGAATAATAGTATGCTGGTTACAGGAAGACAACTCTGTGCCACATGACAAGGTTGAAATGCTGTTAGCAGCCACACCTAATAACTGAGTTCTAAACACATTGTGTGTGGATGCAAACTATGGGTATGTCTACACTGCATTTGGAGGTGTGACTGCAGCATGTGTAGACATATGCAAGACAGATTTAATGTAGCTAGTGTGAGTACCAACCGCAGTGAAGCTGTGGCAGCATGTGTTGTACAAGCCCATCCAGGACCCTAGGTACTTATTTGGGCAGGTAGCCCTTGGTAGGGAGACTAGAGGTCCCGATTTTCTAGGGACAGTCCCGATTTTGGTGGCTTTTTCCTACATAGGCACCTATTACCTCCCACCCCCTGCCCTGATTTTTCACACTTGCTATCTGGTCACCCTAACCCATGCTGAAGCCTGTGCTGCCACGGTTTCCCGGCTATTGGTACTCATGCTAACTCGATTAAAGCTAGCTCAGCTATGTCTACAGGGGCTACACTCAAACATCTGACTGCAGTGTAGACATACCCTATGTTTGGAACCAACCATGCTCATAAGCAGTTACAAAGATGATTGAAAGCTTGTTTATGGACAGAGCCAAACTCTAGTTATAGAAACTAGCTCCCTATAGGTATTTAAGACAATCTGAGTAAGAATTATGTTGCTCGTCCAATTAAGTCTACCAAAGAAAATCTACATGTCTACCGTTCTCTCTCTAGTAAACTTGTTACATTACACAGTTGTTTCCAGGTGGTAAGAGCACAAACTTAATTTTCTGCTAATTTTTTCTTATTGCTTCTGAATGTCTACATGGGGACACTACAATTCCTTGTCTTGCTCAGATCTACAGTTATTGTGGTAACCATCTACTGACACTGAAGGGAGTTGTTAGCTACATTCTAATATTCAAAGTTAATTTGACATACTGAAGAAAAACAAAAAAAATAGGCATAAACAAACAACATTAAAACACGCTGTCCAGTACATGTTTATGCACTTGGCACATTGTTGCAGCGGCTGCATTGCAAACATTGCAGGAGAGTGCAAACACTGCAAGGGTAGGTTTGATTCAGAAAACTCTGTTTCCACTGAAAGAGAGTTTAACAAATTGAAAATTCCATTGGCACATTTCTGCTTAGCTTAGGTTTTGTAAAAACTTGTTTCTAAAAACTTGTTTTTACAAAATGTAAATTTGGAACTAAATTCAATTCGACAGGTTCCTGTCAATAATCCACAAGTGAGCCTTGAAATGGGTTAATAAATGAAATAAATAAATCTGATTTCCCCATAACCCGAGTCTTAGATTTTGATTTATGACGGTATTTTTTTCTGCTGCCTTTAGATTGCACAGGAAACAAGCATCCTGCAGGTTCCACCAAGCCATCTTTTGTTTCTACTGTCATTACATACATTTACTTTTTTTTCTTTTATAAGACTAAAGTGGCACTCCCATATTGGGAGCTGAGAGAGAGGCACACTACCACCTGGAGTTCCTTTGCATGTGTAGGAGTGCCATTGTTGTGTCATCCCTGATGAGGCTACAATGTGTAGTCCCTGTACTGGCTGGCCAACTCAAGACGTGGCTGTTGGACAAGTGTAAGGTCACGTTCTTCTCACCCAATCCAAAGTGGCTAGCCACTCTATTCGGACACAGTCCTCATGCTCAAGTGAATGCAAGAAGAGATATTGTGATTGGTCTCCACATGGAGGTGAAAGATGGGACAGGGGTTGGCAAAGGCTCCCTACAATTGCATGGTGCACATAGTGTATTTCCTGATCTTATTATACTATATAATAAAATATTTCTTAAAATAATAGGAAATTCCAAGGCAAAAAACTTTGTTATCTGAACTTAAAGTACCCTTACAAACACTGCTAACTTTAATTACTGTAAATTAAACCTAAGCATTAAAAAGGTATGAAAAATAGATGGATTAATTCAGGTAATGTAGGTAAAGACTGCAATATCTTTCACATTTATATAGTCTCTTCAAAGGTACATGTATGAAGATTCACATTAAGCAATCCACTACAGCCTCAACTTTAGCCAAATAAACCCATACAATCTCATGCTTATTAACATAATAGCACAGATGTAACAGAGTAGAATTTGTACCTTAATATTTACAATCAGGAAAAAGAAAAAAGAAAAAAGCCTTTTCACAATAACACATCTGCTAGGAATTCTGCTAGGTAGAATTATACTTAATAATGCTTCTATACCACTGCACTAAATTGTTATACTAGTTATGCTGCATACATAAGAGTGTTTCCCAAAGAAAATCCATTTTCATTGCATATTTTGACTTATAAGTTACTTAGAAGAATGATATCCCTTCTTTTAATTATTTCAGTAAACATAATAATGGCATTGCTAACTACACCACAAAGTACTTTATTTTCCCAATTTTTTAGTAATATGAGCCTACTTGTAATTAAAGGCATGCTGCATTAATGGTGCTGAAAGTCTCAGAGGGAAACATTTAATGTCCACCTCATAATATTATGCCAGAATTACATGCACAGAAGACTTTTTAATAATCTTTGTTTCTTAATTTAGTTTTGATTGACTATGAAATCCAGAGGAGTACTCTAGGGCTCGAATTTCTACTGTCATCAGCACTTCTGCTCCATAAATTGTACAAACGCAGATGACTTCTTCCGTCTGTAGGCTTCTTTTCAAAGCTTCTGTTTAACCTATCCAGAAAATTAGCTGCAGGCTGCAGATAATTGCAGATAATTTTACCATTTTTAAGCCACTGGGGTGTTGCATTGGGCTGTGACAGCCAAATTTGTCTAGACACAAAGAGCAAATCATATTTTTATGTTGTCACTTCAGCTTTATATGCATGTTCATAACAATCTCAGCTCTGTATGCAAACTACAGCAGCAGCCACTAGGGGTTTCCTAGGTAAGTATCTGAGAGGGGTTTCTTTTCGAACCAGGGATTAGTAATGGAATTAAAAGTTATATTAATAAGGGTTAGATTCGAGCACATCAATCACCTCTCAGGAAGGGGTGGTATGTAGCTGTGCTGCTCAAGCTGATAGCTGAGTAGGAAGAGAGAAGGAAATATTACACTGGCAAATTATGTCTATTAAAATTAAAATGGGGTCTGTTTGAAGCAGTGTTAGTGAGGATAGATTAGTGAGCAGAGTGCAAGTGGTGCAATCACAAGGTACAAAACCAATGTAATTGCTTCATGTATGATATCAGCGCAGCGTATGTGGTGAGTGTTTGTGTCCATGCATACAACATCCCAAATGTGCGTGTGCTTCCACCTGAACACTTTCAAGAGTACTGGGGGTTGAAACGGATGCCATAAGCCATTCAAAAGTTAATTTTCCCAGAACAGACCGGTTTGTCACAGAGTAATAGTGATCTCCATACAGATAATATACAGGCAAACAAATATATTTAGTAGGTTATATCAATTTACAGTAAACTTATTTATAAGAACTCCTTAATTTCCCAGAGCTAAATTATTAGCTAGAATTATACAAATTTCTATTGCTTTACTGATATCATCATAATAAAATGAACCATGAATAACACCGTATATATGATTTATACTTCAAAACTACATTTTCCTATCAAGGAATAATAGTTTTCAACAGAAATTAACATTCTACTGAAAGAAAATTTATTTTATATATAAATATAAGAAAAAAGTCCTCTACAAGCTGAAAATTTCTTCCAACATTAAGAATCTCCTAGGATCTGATCTGGCAAACCTTTATGCATACAGCTTTACTCAGGTGTAATGTTTTGACACATACATAGTGCCTAGTTCTTCACAGCTGGCACAACTATTTACTAAGTGCAACATTTTCACAATTGGCCTCTAATTTTAGGAAGACCAGATGCAGAAAGCCTGACTTAAGACCCTTGGGCATGATTTTTAGAAGTGCTGGGCACCCGCAAATCTAATTAAAGTCACAGGAAAATGCAGATTCTCAACACCTCTGAAAAATCAGACCCTAGCTAATGGTGTTTCTTTTAATGTTGCCCATAAATACAGCTGTGAATATTTATGGCTCATGATAATGAAGCATTAAGTAGCAATGCTTAGAGCTGTGCATACTTCCCTGAAAACACTGTCAATGCACCTTCCCCCACCTTAAACCTGCAATTGTTTAAGTATTCTAATTGTAGACTTCTACTGGGCAAGGATGCCTAATTACACCACATTATGATGGTTTCATGATGTGAACACACTAAAATCAAGCTACCAAACTCTTTTTCACAAATAACCCATGCAAACACACCCAGTTGAAAAGTTAGTGCACTAGAAGCTTGATACTGCTTTCATTTAAGTCCACTGTAAGCATTGCCATTGATTTCAAGTGAAACAGCACTGGGTTCTAACTAAATGAACCACTTATCCTACAGCTTAATGTGTTTTAATGAAGATTGCCTATTTCTTCTTGCTTTGTTTCTCAGAAGCCTTTCACATTTACGAACTCATAATATTATGACAGGTTTCAGAGTAACAGCCGTGTTAGTCTGTATTCGCAAAAAGAAAAGGAGTACTTGTGGCACCTTAGAGACTAACCAATTTATTTGAGCATGGAGTGAGCTGTAGCTCACGAAAGCTCATGCTCAAATAAATTGGTTAGTCTCTAAGGTGCCACAAGTACTCCTTTTCTTTTTTCATAATATTATGTGGCTTTGCCTGGATCTTTACTGAATTGGGGATTTCCACTTTGCATCTGCCTATTACAGAAACACATCCTGAAACTATATAGTAAAGGAGCATTGAAAAGTTTGCCTTACCATTGCACAGAAGGTCTCGGGAGGATCTCCACATGTTATATCAGGGGGATCCAGGGTCACTTTCACATATTTGATCATGTCTCTGGATTCTGGCTGACAGGCCATGTAATCCCAAATTTTGCCTTCTTCAGTGTAAATCTGAGTCTTACACACGTCATAATGTCCCCACACTGAAGGATAATGCTGCATCACTGAAGATACAGTAACCCAAAGGGCATGAAGTGACAGGAATCTTGACAAATACATCTCTAAATCCTTTGAAATTGCCTTGATAATTATAACCAGTATTGATTTAAGGACAGTCTATAGATTATAAATATATGTACACGTATATTTATGTATGTATCTTATAAAGAGGTTGCACAACTGAACGTGAAACGTTAGAATATGGTACTTGCTTTACTAAGTTGAAGACTTTGGTAGAAGCCTAACATATTCAAAACAGCAGCTTTTCACCGAAATCTGAAGCTTGTCCTTGGTCTTATAATGTGTCTATCAGGGCTTTTTGTAAAAGATGTCTGAGAGCAGATAATAATTTAGCAAAGTTGTAGGTCTTCACTTGTACTGTCGATAACCCCGAGTGATCCTCCGTGTTCAAAGCTCACAAGAGATACCCAGACGCACTGATAAATCAGCATCTGAAGCAAAAGGATGAGTGTCTACAGCCTGGTGTCTGTTTCCCATCAATCATTCTTTTCTTCTGGCACCAACACCCTTTTAGAAACAATAAGAGTAAGAGTTATTGTCCAAGAATCAATGCATTATAAAATATATGATATGTTGACATTTTGGAGGTCTGATGCAATATAAAGCAAATTGATGTAATATAGATAACCTTTACAGTGTGTGCTTTGCTAGAATGAACAAACTACCAAAATCATTCACAGTGAAAAGTATTTCAACTTGAAGGATTTAACTCTTCTTTAACAAAGACAGATTTATAACATTTCAGGTGAGCTACAGGTTTTTGCTTTAAAAATGACATTTCCATCTTGGCAAAACCTAAAAGGCAAACAACAGAACTTAAACATTTCTCATATTTTATAACCAATGAGGTGGGGGAAACCTAAACCACCAAGGAGATCAGCAAAGCGGATCTTTTATTACAGTGACAAAGATGACAACTACCGTTGTGTGCTTTTTATCTCTTGGAACGAGGACCTCAGAGAGCTCAAAATGCCCCATATGCTTCTATGCTTTTGTTAGCTTAATAAGAGAGTTATTAGGAGCACACATCTGTCTGTTTGGATTTTCTCATTAGTACTGGAAAAGCTTTGCTCCTTTTTTTAAAATTGCAGTTAATGATAAAGATAACAACTGGCTCACCTGTAGCTTATTATATTAACAATTTCCCTTTTCAACATTGGTCCCATGTTTTCTTAATTATTTTAACATATCTACCTCTTGTTTATTTCTGTAACAGAAATACCCTCCAAACAGTTCTGTATGTTGTTGTAAGATGTAAAATACCAGGACATAAGATCATAAACCCTAAAAACAACATGATACAAATTCAAAAGTCATTTATATAGGTCAATGTAGTTTTCTCTAATTTTGCAGTCAATCCTGTTTCAATTGAAGATATTGGAAGTTTGGCCACTGACTGCAATGGGAATAGGATTAGCCCCTTTGTGAAAAGAAGGATGCATTTAACTACTACTGTACTTTTCAACTCTTTAGCTGACTCTTACAATCTAAACAACCTCTTAAATTTCATGTTTACAGACAACTATAAATCATAATGTTGCTTAACTTAATTAATGTCTGTAGTCTAATATTCTAGTTAGTATGATGAATCTTCCTATGCCATAAAAATATGAAAGGTTCCATCACATACACCTTGTTTTAGAATACACATTTTCAAGAAAGAGCAAAAGTTGTCTTCAAAGCAATTTCACAAACGGGTTCACTATATTTAAACACTTCACCATCTTAAACTGAAATAAGCCACACACACTATGAAATGCCAACAGATGGCTGAAGTGTGTTTCCATAGCAAAGTAATTTACAATAATTGCCTTATGCACGCAAGTGCAATTTTTCATTATATTCATTTCATAAAATGTTATCACAGAGCAGTGATTTGTGATGTATTCTATTGGAAAGTGTGTTGAATATCTGAATTTTTATGTAACAATAATTAGCTATTTGCCTAAATACATGTAAACTTCAAGTCTGAATTTGCTACAAAACCAGAAACTTCAGATACTTTACAAAAATTAAATACATTTTAACTCAGATCATTAACCATTACCACGGCTTTTTTAACAACCGTCCATTATTCCTGTTTTCATTGGCAATACTTAACTTGTTATTTTGGAATTAATTACAGAAAAAAACCACAGCTCAAATACAAAGGTCAACATCTATAAGTAAGGAATTGACCTGAAAAAAACGTTCTCTGTTTCTAAATAAAAACTTACAAAGTGTCTTAAATGATCATGACAAATCAGTGCATATTCAGCACTGAAGGATGAGAAAAACTATTTTGAGCTTGGGCAAAGCTGGTATAACTAGTGAGTGAATGTTATGTTACTGTATAGAAATAACAATTTACTATGTTTAAACAGCCTTACAATTTAGCCTTTTTCATTTAGTCAGAAATATACTCTTTTTTTAATGCTTTCTTTGGTAGTTTTTCTTTTCCTCTATAACCTGCTATCACTGTCAATCTACAAATAAGTGGGACTAGATAGGGCTGTAAACAGATGTATTAACTGGAATTGAGAATATAGCTATTGAGAATGAAGGTGAAGATAGCCGTTATCTCAACACCCACTGTGCTACAATGCTCACCATATAACCAATTCTCATTAAAGAAAGTCAGCCTCATAATGATGGTCATTACACAGAATTATAGACTATAACATTGATCAAATTTAGCGCACTGACAAGGAAAAAGTGCAGAGGAGTGCAACATATGTTAGAATTGGGAAGATATATGACTGAGTGACGGACATTCCTGACAAGAAGCGGCCAATTACAGCTTAAATTTCTGGCACATAACCAGTTGTGATTAATAGTCTTCCATTATATTACAGATATATTATTAATGTATTAAAAATGTCAGGCTTTGGCAAGAACTAATATGGCATGGTTCACTTACTCTGCAGTATCTTCTTTTAATGAGCTCCCATTGACATAGAGAAAGATATTGACCAAAGCACATTAAATATCATATGCTATGGGTCACTGAGGCTTTTATAATAGAGCTACACGGTTTGTCTTTATTATATTTATGCCTGCAGAGTCATTCATTATGTGCATTCTAGTTCCTGGTTGTCTATTCCCAAACATATCTAATTTTTAAAAAAATTATCTTGCAAAAATTATTTTAAAATTACATTTCCGAACTTTAAAACAATACCAGTTGTAGCTCTAAACCACACGGCAAACTGTGGGTAATATAAACCAAATTTGTTTTCGTGAATACACTTACACTTGACCCTATGGAGTAAAATGCACCAAACACAATAACTGACGCATTTCTTGTGCCCAAATCCTCTGTACTCTGTAGTTCTCTCTTCAGCAACTGACCACGCATTCTGCTGTGTTAAACTGAAACAATCCATAAGGTCTGACATACAGAGACTGACATCTTCACTGACTGAAGGAAAGGCGACTACAAACTACTGGAAAAATTGATTATGCTAGCTGTATTCAGTAAAATGGTGGCACATGGTATACTGGAGCTAATCTTTCTTGGCAATAACTGTATTAATTGTAGAATATTTAGGCCCTTGAATTTTCACATGTGCCTTAACTCCTGCCATCTGAAAAACAGCAGGCATTCCCTGGGCAACTGTGGAACAACAATGCTTAAGTCCCTAATGTCTCTGCTTTCTTCCAAACCATTCCTCTGTATGTAAAGAAGTGGATATATACCACATATAATAAATACATGTATACCTCTGTATCAGCAATTCTACATGAAGAGCATTAGTTGACCAAGACTAAAATTGTCTGTAAAAGTGGCCTTACACACATGAATTTGTTTCCAGGTGGCTACATTTGAATCAGTTCAGCCTCACACAGCATTTTAATTATGTAGTCTGCTCAGTTACCCTCCCCACCCCGCTCCCCACCTCAACTCCAGCCAAAAAGTATATTCCAGCAATAATTAATTACGGTAAAAGAAGCTGTCAATTCTTATTAGGATATGGTAGTAAACACAGCTCCTTGTAACTGTTTTGGTCACTGTGAATATTTCCCTCCTCCCACACACACTATGATAATTTTCTCATTATAAAAATTGTCACTAGCAGCTTAGCATTCATAGTGTTACAGAAGTCTCTTGGTGAGAACTTGCTGTACTTACATTATAGATTTTTTCCAAAAACTCAGTTATGCAGTGGATTTCATAAAATGGCAACTAGTGATCATTTCTTGTACAGACCATGAATTTGATAAACATACACATTTTTGCAGCACATGAATTAGAAAGAAAGGTGAATAATCAGTTATCTGATAACATATTCCAGTATCTGCTGGTGTAAGAAATAACATTTAGATGTATAAAAAAAAACTTAGTCAATGGCAGATGTGTATAATAGTAGGAATATATAAAATATTTTAAAGTGAAATCTATTGTAATTTTGCATCTACAATCAGAGTACATTAATATTTCCTAAAAAATACAAGTAAAGGTGATTTTTGGCTGCTTTGGTTATAATTTCTAAATTACTTTTTTCAAGATGAATAAAATATGGTGTATACCACAAGATACAACTGGTAACTGATATATATTTTCACTGTTACCACTTATGAAACTTGGCATACAGTGATATACTGACATACTGTGATATATTAAATCTGAGCATTTCATAAATGCAGTTATTCATCCATGCAAATTAAATATGTTCATGTGTTTAATTATATTACATCCTATCTTTGATTAAATGTAGTACCTTCTAAAAAATTCTTAGGATATTTCAAAATCAGTACTAATACTAGAAGAACTTCACATTCTTTTTCTATTAAATAGTTAAATAAATTTGATGAAAATGGAAAGATTTTCTTCTCTCTTTTAGGAGAAAGGAGTAATAAGACTTCTGAGATCTATTAACAGAAGACAACAGAATATGAAGTTCTACAAATAAAACTAGGGATTCTGAAATACCCTACAAAATTTTAGGTTGCCCAAAATCTTTCTTTGTCCTGTAAAATAGCACATGAACATTACCACTTACACTGTATCACCAACATTCAGCATGGAATGAAAATACTTCAGAAACTTTCATTTAAAAGGCTTCATTTTTAACTGCTGTAAGTTTTTAATATAAAACCTTTGTAATTTTGTAACCGTCTCTTATTGGTTAAGTCAACTTTGAGCACAAATTGCATTGTTTTGCAATTTTTATGCACTTAAGATGATCAAAATGGTTTACAGAAATAAGATTCCTAACAGAAAAAGTAACAGGCTCTTGTCAAAAACTACTCACAGATCATCTATTGTGTAGTGATAGTAAAGTCTTCAGATTGTGGCGTGAACTCAATATAATTTTCTGAAGCTGCTAAAATTATATTAAGGACTTAACACTGGAAAAAACAAAATAAAACTAAAAGGACCCGGATTTTGTTTTGTGCTGTTGCCAAATTCTGTACCTCTAATCAGAAAGTTGGTTCCACTCCTTAGCAATGCCACCGTGGTGCATGGCAGATGACAAGGAACAGGAAAGATCAGGCTACTGCCATTAATTGGTGAAAAATGTCAGGGAAACATCCTTTAAAGCACCAACAGTCATCTTTGATTTTTTTCCATGTAGACTAAAAAAATGTGAAGTCTTACCTAGGCCACAGTGTCTAAACGTTGGGCTGCATTATGCTTGAGGCAAAACTGTAAATTGCTCCCTCTTTAAAAGCATCTGTACCAATTATTTAATTCACTTCCTCTTTTCACATCTTTGCAAAAATTAGGCTGAATCTTAGTGCACAAAATATTGAAAAGCCTAATGCACAGCAATATAAATGTGCTCATTAAAGCCAACAAACATACAAACTTTAGGAGAGAATACAGGACCATTCATTTTATTGGTCTCAGCTATTCAGCAGGTAGTAAATCATTTGGTTTTTGTCTGAATAATTTTTCATTTATTTTTTGAATGATTATGTAAACTGCTTGTAATTTCTGATAGGAAGCAGGGGATTATTCCTAGTTGAATAAGTGAACTGTTAGTTCCATGGGGATTGGGGTTATTCTACAAACCATCAATTCCACTCTTTTTTATTGGATTTCTGATAATATTTTTCTGCAGAAAAATCTTTATTCATAGACTGCAAACTGTTTGAAGCAAATGACCCCCTTTTGGCAGAATCCTTCTGAATTCACTTCAAAAACTCTTTCATTCCCTTCATTGCCAGTTTGTTGGCTCTTATTTAATACTCTTTTCATTTTAAAAAATAGGAAGTTATAACCAATCATTTCCACAGTTCTGTAAAATCCTGATGTGATTCAGGGTTTTGGGTTTTTTTTGCTTCCCTGTTGGAAGTTAATGCCCTTTATCTTTTTTTTTTAAGTGCACAGCTGATTTCCATGCCGGGAAACTCATGAGAACAGATTGCAGGTTTGTGAACCAAAATGTAATTCGATGTTAGAGGTAGGAGGGTAGCCCATTTGGAAAACAATCCACAGAGGAGTTTCAATGGCGTGACTATGTATCAGAAATAGATTAATCGACTTGTAGGTTGGGGGAAGGGGCGGGACCAATACCTGTGTCTATAGGTGCCCATTCAGGATGCAAAAACAAACAGAGTAATCGCCTGCTCTTTTAACGAAAATGCCTTTGAAATACGCGCTAGTAATTTTCCTCCCTGTGCAAAGCACAAGGGCAATGTGCTTGGAAACCCGACACAGAAATTTGCTCCCAAGCGAGGAGCTCACAGCAACAGCAGAGGGCGCAGTTTCTATTTGTATAGAAATTCCACCCCCTACCCTCCTGCTAAATCTCTTAATTGGCTACGTGGGGTCCAATAAAAGGCAATAGCTCTAGCTGATCCATGTAGATCTGTACCGACGGGGAGACCCATAGCGGTATTCAAACTAAACCCCCAGAGAGGCAGAATTACCACTGCATGCAATTCTCCCTACATACCCATCTCCCATCCGCTAGGAGCAAACCCAGGGACACATACCACTCCACCATCCCCCGGCCGGTACCAGCCCTCTGCCCAGCGCACCGCGCGGGGGGCGGGATTCCCACAGCCCAGCTTCCAAGACCCAGCGTGTGCAGCCACCGTGCCAGCACCCAGGGGCTGCGGGCAGCCAAGTTTTTCAAAGCCAAGTCCAGCTTGCCCAGCCCCAACTCTTCCCCCTAGCCAGCCACGCCAAACGCTCCCGAGGGGCTGGGCAGAGTTCCTCTCCCGCCCGCAGCCATGGCTCCTGCCCGCCGGTTTCACCGGGCTGGCAGGCAGCAGCGGTTCGCTAGCGAGGCAGGGAAGAAGGAGCCGTACTCACCATGTGGAGCAATCCCTCTCGTTAGAGCGGGGAGGAGAGCGGACACCGCGCTGCCTGGGACCTTCCCAGCCTCATCCCTCTCCGGCAGCGGGAGCATGGGAGCCAGGGGCGCACGGGTGGGAGGCTGCTCCGCCCGCTGTGCCCCGTCCCCCGGCCGTGGGGAACCTGGCAGGCGTGTGCCGCACGCCCAACAAAAGTTCCTGGTGACGCCGAAGAGTTCAAGGGCTGGAGAAGAGCAGCGCCCGCCAGCCGGCAGGTCGGAGCCCCCTTCTCAGCCCCTGCCCCGGGACCTGTAGACTGCCCTGGAGCTGCCCCGCGGAGCTCGCTCCGGTGCGAAGGGGGAGGAACTCCTCCGGCTCCACTGCAAAGCTCGGCGACCGGCAGATCAGAGAAGGGGAGCCAAGACCGACGCTCCCCCTGGAACAAGTCAGCAGCAGCCGCTCAGGGTTGCCTGCCAGCCCCGCTGCACCGCCGGGTCTCCCGTCTGCCCGAGCCACTTCTTTGCCTTAAACTTTTACTGGGGCTCCGGGAAGCTGCAGGACGTTCCCTGGTTCTCCGCGACAAGACGCGCTGCGAAGGCTGCGCTCCTGGCTGGCCCCAGCTTTCGTTTTATTTTAGATGAAGCCGTGGAAGGTACTTGGAGGGGACATAAATCACGACAATTAGCACTGGCGCCGAGAAGATCCTCTCCTACCAGTTTCGCCGAAGCTTCCTCCGCGCATTCCTCTGCTCAAGTCAGAAGTATCACTGCATACAGCGTTGATGGCAGGGAGATGAGACACATGGAAAGTCCATCCGATGAAATATACATGCCAGCGATTCTTCTGGATTGGAAATCTCCCGTGCCCCCTCCCTCCCCCCCCCCCTCAGCGCTCGTGCTGACCCTGCATTGCAAAAGGAGCTCTCAAACTTAAGGGCAGGACACTATTAAGGGGAATGAAACCTCAGAGAGGTGGCAGGGACGTTTCACTTAAAAGCAATCTTCTCCTGCAACTGCCAGCAAGTAGAGGGATTGCAAACCTTATACCACCTCCAGACCTGAGCGCGCCGAGCGGTCCTAAAGCCGTTTAGATCTCCATCTCTCTCTTGCATCTCCACACTTGCCACTTGCACAAGTCCCTTATTAACTCATGACACCGATTATCTCTCCTGCTGCATTCCCCCCTTGCACCTTCCTTTTTGTTCCTTTGAAAAAGCCTTTAAGGTCTTGGGCTTAAACGACACCAGAGCCTCAGCCTTCAATTAGAAATGGACTGAAGGGTCAGGGTACAAGTTGGATCTTGCCAATTTTTGGCCCAGCCTTCCAAATTCCACCCCTTAAATGAAGAACAAGCCTAGCTGTTCCAATTGCAACAAATACCCCAGACCCTGAGACATCCCACCTCAGTTGCATTGCCAAACTCTGGATCCATCAGGTGGGTCCTGCTGGATCCTGGCAGTTTTTAACCCCATCTACCTAAGTTTCATGCCTGAACAAAAAACATGTTTAGCTGTTATTAGTGCACCTTAAAAACACAGACCCTGAAGCTCACCAGTACAACAGTACCACAAAACTCAGGTTCAGCATCTGGATCCTGGCAAAATTTGGTCATAAAACAAGACATTGAAGGACCACAAAACATCCTGGTACAAGACAGACAGAAAAACTATAATTTGGCACCCATCACCTTTTACTGGGTCTGCATACTCTCCAGTTTTACCACCTACATTTAGGTCATTTGCAGCTTCTCCTAATCTATCAAAATAATCCAGCTCCCAACCCACACCCATCCCTACATCTGGCAACTGAATCTGGCTGAATCCAAGAGCCAGATTGGAGGTCTGTTGCATATGGAACTCTCAAGAATTGGACTTTTTCTGACATAACAGGAGCAGCTAAACATTCTCTATTTGGGCAAGGACCCAGCAGGGCTTCAAGACTTTTTGTGAAGGAGTCAGGAAGAGCCCTACTGCAGCTAGAATGATTGCATTTTTCCTTATTTAAAGCATCGGCTGAAGGCAAACCTGAGGCTGCATAAAGTATAGTTTCAGAGTAACAGCCGTGTTAGTCTGTATTCGCAAAAAGAAAAGGAGTACTTGTGGCACCTTAGAGACTAACCAATTTATTTGAGCATAAGCTTTCGTGAGCTACAGCTCACGCTCAAATAAATTGGTTAGTCTCTAAGGTGCCACAAGTACTCTTTTTCTTTTAACGTATAGTTCTTTGTCAAAATCGCATGCAAGTTGTGATTGCGATAGGACAGCAGGTGAAATCCAGAAGTTTGGACTCATTTTCCCTTTGAGTTTTTATATTTGTTAGAACTAGAAGCTCAAACTAAATGTGACTGAAGACCCACAATCAAAAAGAAAATGTTTGCATAAACAACAGTGAAACAAAACTGCTGAGTTTCACACAGCTCCATTGTGAATAGTGCCTAACACAATGACCATATCTACTGAGACTGTGGAACTCATTGCCACAAGACATCAACACCAGAGTTTAGCAGGATTCAAAAGAAGATGAGACGTTTATATATGGATAGCAAGAAAATACCCAGAGTTCTAACAAAAAATATGGGGGGAAAACCTAACCCCCCTAAAAGCTTTGGGCGTATAGAAATGTGCAAACTTTAGGGCTTAAACCAACTTCTAATTATGGGGGGATAGGATGAAACTTCCCTGCAGATAACTGCAGATAGGTTATCTCATAATTGCCCACAGTAGGGTTTCTTATACCTTGGTCTGAAGCCTTTGGTACTGGCTACTGTCAGACAGGATACAGTAGAACCTCAGAGTTATAAACACCAGAGTTACAAACTGACCAGTCAATTACACACCACGTTTGGAACTGGAAGTACACAATCAGACTGCAGCAGAGACAACAACAACAAAAAAGCAAATACACTACTGTTAACATAAACTACTAAAAATAAAGGGAAAGCAGAATTTTCCTTCTGCAGAGTCAAGTTTCAAAGCTATATTAAACCAATGTTCAGTTGTAAACTTTTGAAAGAACAACCATAATGTTCTGTTCAGAGTTACGAACATTCCAAAGCTACAACCTCCATTCCCGAGGTGTTCATAACTCTTAGGTTTTACTGTACTGAACTAATTAGACCACTGGCCTGACCTAGTATGATAGGTAGTCTAGTATGGTAGACCTTTTAGTAGGGTATTTATCCACGGCAATGACCTAACTGCAACAACACAAACCTTGAGTATAGAAGCACTATCCCAGTTTGCAAACCTTTCAGGGAAACTAGGCTGAGTTTGGAATTTGTAACAAAACCCTAATCAAGTTTTGCATGATTTCAGGCTGTGTTGTGGCCATTGCACACATCTCTAAATGTCATCCATTATGAATCTCCCATTAACTGAGCTATCCTGTGTCTTTGTCACGAAGGAAACTGTAAAGGCATTGTATTTGTGGTATTCCCCGTGTCCAGTTACCTACAACTCTCCCAGTGGAGCCAAGAGAGTTACTGTGCCTGAAAGTATTTAGGGACACTGGGAATTTTGTTGTCTGAAAAATAGCATTTTAGTCTATCAGTATTTGAAGCCCAAAGCTCCATGAAAGAATTAGACCTGGTGTGCCAGTGTGCCTGTCCTCCTTCACACTGGAGGAGGGATGATGCCCAACTGGCCCACTGCATGATGGCAACTGTTGCATACATTTTGGGCTTGATCCGCCCCTCCCCCACACTGTGCAACCTCAACATCCACAGAAATCAATGAGAATTGAGAGCACTCAGCACTTTATAGGAGGTGTGAGCAGCTTAGAGGGGCAAGCCCTTTGTTGGAAGAATGGCTCAGGTCCTAGGGTCCTTTGTGCAGTGCAACTTTCTACTCCACACCCTGCTTTGCACACGCTATTCCACTGCATTGAGCACACGCTGCTAACTCTCCAACTGGCAGCTGAAATAGACTTTTTTGAATGAAGTAGCAGACAGACTGCGTGCGAGAGAGCAGGAGGATGGTTGCTAACCCTCCCCCCCCACAACCACCCAGCTATAGTTGAGGCAAAGGGTGCAAATCTCCAAACAGGAGCAGATTTCCCCAAGGGCAGAGCTGGCCCGTCTGCTTTCTCATTGCTTTGCCCACAGTAGTTTAACCTCCAATACAGTCAATCGATCAGTGATGATTTGAATGTTGATCTGGACTTGCACCTTTACTACCTCCAGCTGCTTCATTTTTAACTCCCAGTGGAAGAGGAATGTTTGAAAAATTGCACTGGAGATACGTGAGCAAAATCAAGAGGTTACTGCATTCAGTAGGAAAGGCACAAACCCCTAAAACTGTTCAGTGAAACAGCAGAACAGACAACACTCAAAAAGACATTTACCACCCCACTGCCACCACAGGGGCAGGAGACGGAAAGAGATACCTCACCTCTGCCTGTGGAAACCTCCATCACATGGGTATGCTTTATAAAAAGTTTGCTCTGAGAAAGGATAGATGACAGAATGACAAATGCTGGAGGCCACAAGTGCCTTCTATGGAATAGTGCTCCCATCTTTGCTACCATTGCCAGAACTGACCAATGTTAACAATGCTGGGAAATTTTAGTGGAAAAGGCACAGAGTGATATTGAAAGCCTTCTAGCCAATGTGTAGCTTAATCTATCTGACCAGCTGGGAGTATGGTATTGCATTGATGCACAATACATAAAGAAGTATGCGAATCTGACATTTTACTCCTTCCTGTATTTTCATGCAGTTTGATAATGACTATTTCCCCTTAGAGGGGAAGGAGATCTTTCCCAATCTTGTTTCAGGGATGAGAGTTTCTGTGTGCAGGACATCTTGGGGTGAGATCTCTACACTGGGTACGTACAAACCCCAAGAAAGGCGGTCTAATAAACCTTATTTTTCATTCCAGTCCCATTGTTTCTCATTGGGACAGCATGGAACATTATTATTGATTTCTAGGGTTTGGATAGAAAATGAACTATTTCAGACCTATTGGAAGGAATGATTTTTATTCTTATGCAGTTCACTGGAGAATAAGGTCCAAGGAATTCCATAAATTAAACTTTTAGAGAAATGGAGAAATCAAGCTCAGTGTACAAAGGGTTAATATTAAGTATCAAATTTTTGATCCAAAAAGACACACAAAGATTTGGTTTCTACTCCCAGAATATCAATGAAAAAGTGTCTTATTCTAATAATAAACACTGGAACCCTGCAGTGTCCAGTTACAAACACATGACACTATGTACAAAGACTTGACAATTTTTCAGATTTTGCTTTAGCAGTTTATTTTCCAGTGAATGTTAACATTTTCTGTATGTATTGCAACAATTCATAAAATGCCACATGCCTATAATTGCAAAATCAAATCCCAAATATACATACATGTGTCTTCTAAAGTGGCATTCCTGTACTATACTTGACCTAAGCAAAGTGGTAGTATGTATTCTATTTTCTATCTGGGGTGGTTTGGTGTCTCATCTCACCACAGATAGAAAACAGAATACATGCGACCACTTTGTTTAACTCATGTGTAGTATAGGAATGCCACATTCAATGGGGAGGATGGATCAGTGTTCACATCACACTCCCCATCAGTACCCGACCAAAGCCGGGGAAGCTAATGATCCAACCAGCAGACCAGATTCTGTGATGAATCCTGGTGCCACCTGACGCAAGTTGCGCATATACTAAGAAGAAGGTGTCTCAACAAATATTCCATTAATCTGACTGTTTTTCTTTTAAAAGAGAGAATTCACTCTTCAATTCATCTTTAAAAAAAAAAACCCAAAAACAGTCAACCATCTTTTAAAAAAAAAAAAAAGATCATGCTTGGAACACAATCTTTGTAACTAAAACCAGGATATAAATCGAGGGATTGTAGCCCATACTGTGCACCTGCATAGAGGAGTAAAGAGATATAAGACAATCCTTTGTCTACTGGGCCACGTATCTGCTAGATGGGGAAGAAACAGCCTTCACAGAGGCTCACCTCATCTCCTGGACAGGTTGGTGGGAAGTGGACAAGTAGTGGCTCCATCCTTCCCATGCGCAGGCCC